AAGGTAATTTTTTTTTATTTTTATCGAGAGTATTCTTAGGTAATTTCAGTTATCTAAGATGTAATTAACTATAGGGGCTTGCCCTTATAGGAAGCTTTTCCCGAACCCAGCATAATATAAACCCTATTTAATTCCTTATATTAAATAGGGGAATTTGTCGGCCAATATATTGGTTTTCGCAGACCAAACGGATGTCATAACTTTCTTTGGTTTATTTGATCGAGCCTCACCCTCAATTCTTGTGTTCATCCTTTGGGATAGATACAGGATTTGAGATAAAGTGCTCTTTCATCTAAACTATGAAAATTATGGGGTCAGTTTGACTTTATCTTTTTCAAAATTAAATTTTTTTTAAAAATGACCTTCCGAAGCGGGCAACGGGATTTCAATTCCGATGGCCGACAGCTTCTTACGGGCAAACCCCACACCAAAAATAGTGCCGACAAACACCAAGACACCATCAACACATCATCAACACACCACCACCACCACTCCCATCTACACACACCAATACTACCACGACAACACTACCTGAACCATCACAATCAACCCAACAAACCACCACCACCACACTAACAAGCCACTACCACCACACCATCAACACTACCACAACCACCACTCTCATCTACACACCACCACAACCGTCAAACGCCTACATAGCAACCCACATAGGCCACAAACCACCAATGACAACCCATCAAAGAGAATGACCGCAAAGCACCAATTGCTACTCACACAGACAATGGTCGCCCAACACCAATAGTCACCCACATACTTCAATTTCTCTATAGATGAAAGCGACAAAAAAAAAACATCATCACTAAAATAATGTGTACTTTAATTCCTCCATAGATAAAAGCCACAAACCACAAACAACATTGCCGAAAAATTGAATGCTTCAATTCCTCCATAAAGAAACACCGCAAGCCACAAACTTCTTAACAAATAACCTAAATGCTATAGAGCATTGCCAAGACAACAGAGATCAAAGGGCCAAAACCGCAAAGATTAAATGGTCAAAACAACAAAAAATCACAAACAATCAAAATTCATAGAAAAAACAACAACCGAGCATTACCTCCATTTTAAAGCAATATTCATAATTTTACATTGAGCACAACCACAGCCTGGAGAGAGCAAGCCGTGTGATTCAAAGCCACGAACCAAAAAAAATAATGTGCATAAAGACAAAAGAGAAAGGGTAAAGTTTGCTAGAAGACAACATAAAATAAGGGGAACCAAACAAAGAAGAATGTGAAGTTGTTTTCCCACCATGAGAGAGGAGGAGCAAGTATTCATAGAAGAGAAGCAAGAGAGGAGTAATGGGAGCTATGTAGAGGAGAAGAATCTCCTAGGACAGAGGTACGTGAAAGAAGAAAGGGGAGCAGGAGAGAAGTTACCTAGGGTCAGTGTTACGATTCAGGTGAGGAGTTAGGGTTGAGATGTGAGGAGAAGTACAGAAGAAGAAAATACCATGTGATTTCGTAATAAGCCAATCAAACAAAAGAGGGCCGCAGGATCGGACCAACGTCCCACATTTACCTCAATTTTTCAGTCCGGAGTCCGGACATGCGGACTACGGACGATGCAGCGGAGGATTGGACCTCCGCTGTATCGTTGCATTGCGATTGTTGTTCGCTCACACACCAAAACCGCCAAACGCCTACATAACAACCGACATAGGCCACAAACCACCAATAACAACCCATCAAAGAAATGACCGCAAAGTACCAATAGCCACTCACACAGACAATGGCTCCCAACACCAATAGTCAGCCACATACTTCAATTCCTCTATAGAAGAAAGCGACAAACAACAAACATCATCACTAAAATAATGTGTACTTTAATTCCTCCATAGATAAAAGCCACAAACCACAAACAAAATTGTTGAAAAATTGAATGTTTAAATTCCTCAATAGAGAAAAACCACAAGCCTCAAACTTCTTCACAAATAACCCAAATACTATAAAGCATTGCCAAAACAACAAAGATCAAATAGCCAAAACCGCAAAGATTAAATGGTCAAAACAACAAAGATCACAAACAATCAAAATTCACAGAAAAAAAATACAACCAAGCATTACCTCCATTTTAAAGCAAATATTCATAATTTTACATTTAGCACAACCACAACTTGAAGAGAGCAAGCCATGTGACTCAAAGCCACGAACCACAAAAAATAATGTGCATAAAGACAAAAGGAGGGTAAATGTTGCTAGAAGACAACAAAAAAATAAGGGGAACCAAACCAAGAAGAATGTGAAGTTGTTTTCCCACCACGAAAGAGGAGGAGTAAGTATCCAGAGAAGAGAAGCAAGGGAGGAGTAAGGGGAGCTACATAGAGGAGAAGAATTTCCTAGGACAGAGACACGTGAAAGGAGAAAGGGGAGCGGTAGAGAAGTTACCCAGGATCAGTGTTACGATTCAGGTGAGGAGTTAGGGCTGAGATGTGAGGAGTACAGAAGAAGGAAATACTATGCGATTTCGTAATAAGCCAATCTAACAAAAGCAGACCACAAGATCGGACCAACGACCCACATTTACCTCAATTTTTTTGTCTAGATTCTGGACGTGCGTACTACGAACGCGATGCAACCGAGGATCAGATCTCCGCTGTATCGCTACATCGCGACCGTTGTCTAGACTTCGGACAGAAAAATCGCTCCCACATTTAACTCTATCTTCAAAATTTTTTGATTTTCAAGATTGGACAAGCATGTAATATTCTATGATCAACAAAGAGCCTTAAACCCTAGAGCTTCATCGCATGGCGCAGTCGCATGTCGGATGTTTCCAGCCGCCGAACCGTAACCTCCTTCATCCCGCGTCAAGTGATGCTCGAAATGGCCACCAACGCAACCGCCGCCGCCTCTAAGGATGACGACTTTAAGAAGAAGAAGAAGAGGAAGGACGAGATAGTGACGGTAATGGAAATTGAGAACGAAGGGAAGAAGAGCAAGAAGAAAAAATCTTCTAAGATTTCCAATGGCGGTGGTCACGTTTCCGACTTGATTGAAACCCCAGCATTGGATAGGCCGAGCGGCGATGCTATATCCCTGAAAGGGAAGGGGCGTGAAAGCCTCCTAAGATCCATCGCAGCGTTTCTTGAGAGCAGTGGTTTTGCTAAGACGCTCTCGGTTTTTCGCTTGGAAGCGCAGATCGAGGTAGTCATCTGTTTGGTAAACTTTTAGTTGAGAACACTGATTTTTGAGAACGCGTGCTCTGTGTGGATTTAGCTATTCGTCATTTCTCTGCTTGTTAGAAGGCTAACATGATGATCATGTCTTCATTTTCTATGTTCGTTCTGAAACTTTTTTCATTGATCTGTTAGAAGCTGTTTGCAAATCATGTATGTTTGAATTTAGTAGATCCAGAAGAAATTAAATCCTGAAAATTATTTAGCGTGTTAGAGGTCAAGTCAGTTTAAATTGAGAGGAACCATTTGGCTACTTATTTCAGGATTTAAGTTTTTTTTAACTCAAATAGAATTCGACCCACCAACTAAATCCTTTAAATGTTTAAGGAAAAAAAAAAACAAACAAACACAATTATTCTTCTCATATCTCGAAGATATTATGCAAATCATTAAGTTGAGCGGCTTCTTCTTTGACTCCTGCAATCATAGGACACATTAGTAAGTTGTTGATTACAAACAAATTTTTTTTTTGAAATTAATGAAGTTAATGTCTTAGGCCTATATCGCACATGCAAGTGGCAATCACTTGTCTCACAATATATCTTTAAAACCTCTTCTCAACTATCACATGTATGTTGGGATCTTCATCATTAGCAACCACCTCAACCAACTTGCTATTATGCTGCATTTTAAATTTAGATATGTTAAAATATGTGTTATTGTTATGGCGACTATAAAATTATGTGGCGCTGAATAAGTATTGACATATTTGGCCTGAACACTTAGTTAAAATTATTGCATTTAATTTAGCACTAAAAATATTCCTGCAACATTGTTTTGTAGCTTGTTATGGTGATTGGTATAAAATTCTTATTCCATTGAGTATCCAATAGATGTTTCTCTATGAAACTCACTGAGATGATATTGATATTGTCAAAAGGGCACTATAAGTTTTTTAATGTTAGTGTAGCCCGAGTTAGTTTAGTAATATATTTGTTGTGATGTTCGAAATGCTTCATTCTCCACTAACCATTATAGTATACTCGAATTTGTTGTAGGCCCCTCTCATCCATAAGTAAAGTAGATAAATTATCGATCAAATGAGATATCGCCATCACATTTTGAGAATTGTTTTTTTTTTCCAATTTTTATTTTTGCATTGTATACCATTTAGTGCTTCAATTGTGTTGCTGAGGAAAGGATAAAATTATAAATTTTCTATTTTATATGACTAACAATTTTTCTTCATCAGGGGCAGATTGATCAACTCATTTGACAATGACATGATTGTTTGTAGCACATGATTAAAGCATTTATATACTATTTATAATGAATTTTAAAAGAATTTACATATTTTATGTAATTTTGGGCATGCACAATACTAAATGAAAAAAATTTTCTATTTTATATGACTAACAATTTTTCTTCATCAGGGGCAGATTGATCAACTCATTTGACAATGACATGATTGTTTGTAGCACATGATTAAAGCATTTATATACTATTTATAATGACTTTTAAAAGAATTTACATATTTTATGTAATTTTGGGAATGCTTAGTATCTCTAAGAGATATTCTAAGTTGTTCAATTGAGATCATGTTATTCGTGTCACTCAGTAGGCCACAAACTACCAAAATATATCGCAGTTGCACAAATATCTCAGGTGGTAGATTGTGGTCTAAACCTCCAAAAGATTTCCCTCACATGCATACATTAATGATGAATTATCATCATTATCATTAGGGGATTCTTATACTTTATTTTTCTCCTTTGATGGGGCCTTTTATACTTATTTTTTCTCCTCTGATGGGCCTCTTCTATTAAGGAGATAATATACCGTTTTAGATAATTTATCGCAATGTGTTCAAATGCCAAGCATTTGAAGCAATTTATTAATGTTCTCTTAATATTTGAAGTACCAACTTTGTTCCTTTTTTATGTCTGTGAATGATTGGAAAAGTTATTTTTTAGGAGGCACAAGATGTGGATCATTTCGGGTTTCTTTACCGACTCTATAATATTTTTGTTCTATACTCAAGAAAAAAGTTCTTAGTAATAGCTTGTCATCTTTCTACCTTTAAAGATAATTTAATGATATCGAATAGGGTCTAATATTATTGCAGTTGTTTGATATTTGAAATGACAAGGCACAACCCTTCGATAAATTAGGCAATGTTTTGGTCCTTGGGTTTGATGTTCATATTTCAACATAAGTTAATCGAATTCAGTTATATACTGTACTATGGTTAATTTTTTTTGTTGAGAACTGTGAAGTTCAATGAAACCATCCTTCTTGATATGTGATGGTGAATAATTTTTTTCAGTTCTCTTTTCATTTTCTTTCATTCTTAGTTTTGCATTTCCTAGACCTCGTTATTTTAGGATTCTCCTAGGAAATAATTTTTTCTTTTTTTAACATGAAGTTTTATTGGTCTACTAGTTGGTACGTTTTTATGTTCAAATCGACATTCTATAATATACAACAAATCTATAAAATTGTCAGGATTTAACCCACTCTCAAAATATGGAATTTCTACTTTGACCCCAAAATCGAATTTCTATACCCCAAAATATTGTTAATGTCTAATGTCTAACTGGTTTTTTTCTATGAAAGGTTTGTTCTCTTTGGATGATTCTTAGTTTGCTTGATAGAAATTTCTTTCATCTCACAATTGAAGCGATTTGATCTGATTGAAACAAATTTAAGATGCAATTCCACCATTGTTAGTTCTTGGCTATAATTGGGTTGGTTTTTCCCGTGACATGCTATCCTAGGCTTTGATTTCAAATTTGACACTGTCTAAATAAATGATACAAGAGTGCCTCTAAAAAATAAATGTTAAGTGGGAAACACTTATTCATGACTATTTTAGCTTATAACTAATTGGAAAAAATATACATTGAAAAGTTTATGTTACTAGTTGACCTCTCTGCTTTCCAAATACTGAAACCTAAAACCAACACTTTTTAAACTACCTCAAGTGGGAAATGTATCAATAGCCCAAGAGAAAAACCGCCCCATGGATGGAAATAAAGGAACAATTATAAGCTATGTTCTGTTGGGTGACTTGCTCCCATTTTTATCCCTAATGTTGGAATGTTGGTGAACACACTGCCAGTTACAAGGGAATCTAGCCTAAACACCCAGGATAACCTGAAATAAAGCTCACCAAAAGATCTCCAATTCATCAGAGGCATGGGTTTTTTATAGATAAGCCCTAATACTCTTATGGCCTTACTTTATTAAACTACCCCTCTTATGAAACTAAAAGGAAAAAAGCCTTTATAAATATTTTTTTAGGAAGGTTTACATATATGCCACTCAAAACATCCTATTTTATGTATCTAACACCTAAAATCCTTTATTTATTGGTATATCACCTAAAAGTTCTTAGTAGAACAGTTTTACCGCTTCGCTTTCTGGTTAACCTCTGTTAGTTCTCACCACACAGAGAAGAAAAGAATCTTCTCCCCCCTCTTTTCTGCACTTGTAAAGAGAAACTCTGCCAAAATCCTCTTCTCTATCTCTTCTTTGCCTGCATTTTTTTCAGCGAACTTACATAGAGACGTTGTTTTCCAATTCTACTCTTTTTAATCTTCTTCAAAATCTGAGATTTCTGCATTTAGGCCGGAACAACATAAATGAGTTGAGAAGAATCCATATATCTATATATTTTATGAGAAAGTATCACAATAACCTAACATAAGTCTCACAAACAAATTGAGGACTAATCTTTACAATTAAGATGTTTTAACCCATCGAAATCCTAGTTATATTTGTTCTCTCTTCAAACAACCCAACACCATTGAGAACAAGCAACTCACCTAGTTTTAAGCCATTAAAAAACCAGTAATACAATTACTGTCAAATAAAAAGGAACTTGACCAAATACGAAACAAAAACAATACCTTTCTTTCAGCAATATTGCAAGAACGCCTTCCTATACCAAGCACGGAAGTTGTCCATATCCTCTTCTTTCTCCAAGCTCTGCTACAACAGGCGGAAATCCAGAAGGTGAGATTCATTGGGAGGACTCTTTCATAGGAGGACTTAAGCCAGTTGGTGTCGTCGCAAGTGAGGCCAGCAGCGGGTGATGGCTCTCATTGTGCTGATACATTTGGTGTATTAAAGATTTTAATGTGGTAGATAAGTAAAATTAATGTTTAGGGTGTTAGATATTTAAAATAGGATGTTTTGAGTGGCATGTATTTAAATGCCCCCTTTTTTAATTAATAGAAAAACCTTCCTATCTCTAACTACGACACAATGCTTGTGGCATTTTTTTTCTTTTATTTTTATGATGGAATATGTAGGTTTTGTAACAGTAGTTGTTGGAACAAGTCTCTCTCCTTGGGATTTAGTACTTGCATGATTTTGTGGAGATCCCAACTTGGATTTTTTTGCCATTAGTGTTAGTACTGGTTTAAAGGTTCTTTATCCACTACAATAGGCTTAGCTATGTTTCCCCCTCTGAGACTCCACTTGCAATTACTAGCTTTATTTATTGACAAAAAATTTCCTTAATTCGAATATATATTATTATTTTTATATCATTTTATGTTTATGCTTTTTTTGATTAAAAAGTTATGATTCAGTATACATGTTTTCAGTTTCTTGTTATGCATTAGATGTTGAATTTGTTGATCCATTGACCATTAAATTTTTATTGTATTGCTTTTTTAATGAAATTTATCATTAGAAGTAGAACTCATATTTCTATTACTTGAATAGGTTAACAATACAGGAGTTTCTTGTTTTAACCTGGAGGATTCATGTGACAAGTTAATTGAGTTGAGGTACTATGCCATATTTTCATTGTTTAAATTAATTCTTGCTTTTTAATCGAAGAATGTCTATTTTGGGATATAAATGATTTGCTCTTCTAGCTGAAGCTTTTATCAAAGTGATGCCACGATACTCATATGATTGAAGAATGCAACATTTTTTTTTTCTTTTGCAAATACAAGGACTTTATTACTGTTATTTCGCCATAAACTCTGATTATATTTATTACCTTAAGATAAGGGGGCTCTCTTCTATGTTTAGTGCTTTTGCTTTATTGGGGAGATCTTTGGTTGTTCATTTTAATGAACCATTGAATATCATCGTTTCTTTTTATTTATTTATTTTTTAAAATTTGCTTTCTCATGAAACTTACACATTAATTTAAAGGATTTATGTCATGATTTTTCGACCCTACTTAGTGGGATAAAAGCTTTATTTCGTTGTTGTTGTTGTTATTTCTTTCTCATTAAACTTTAGTTATTAAAATTTAAGAGAATTTTTTTTGCATTTCTTACAGAATAAAGAACAATTTCTTTGAGTAAGTAAACAAACATTTCATGTAGGAATTTTTATACTGGGATTTAAATGGCTCGATTATATTGATAAAACTTTCTTTTGAAGTAATGACATATACGTAGGTGACTGAAGATATAATTTTTTTTTTCTTTTGCAAATGTATGAAATTTTTCAGTGTTATTTCTCCATGTTGAATTCTGAATTGTCTTTTGGAAATACACGCCTCGAGAGTTAGAGCCGGGAGAAGGAGAAGGAGATGGAGAATGAGAGAGAAGAAAATGTCCTGAAATTCTAAGTAAAGAGGCCAGAAAAAAATTCTCTTTATTCATCATAGAGCCTCCTATTTAGAGGAAGTTTTTTTTGTGCAATTGTAGAAAGGAGAGAGCAAATATGAAAATTCTCAATTATCGAAAGGAGAGAGCGATTATGAAAATCGCCCTTAATGCAGTTAATATGTTGATTTAATACTAAATTTGCATTACAATTTGATTTGAATGCGACGGTTATCAACTAGTCGGTATATCTGGGTTCGGTCAACTGGGGCGACTGGTCGTTTGTCAATTGCTCTTACTGAGATAAAGCCGGTTGGCAGGTCAGTGTTGACCGGGCCTCCTTGCACGAAGAGAGGGTAGTTGGGACCGTGGGCATGGTCTGTCGGCTGTATCTGCTGGCATTGCGTGTCGGCCTACTTGATCGAGTGGACAATCGTCAACTAGCTGACACGGACCACGCTAATTAAGTTCGACGCTTCAGTGGTCCAGCCATCATCCTTAGCCGGCTGATATCTTTGAGATTCATGCTGACAGTTTTAGTACATACACTCCATAAGTTTTGATTATATCTATTACTTGAAGATAAGGAGGCTTGTTTATGTTTTATACATTTGCTTTTTTGGGGAGGTCTTTCATTTCGGGTTCATTAGACATTTCAGTTATTGAAACTTACGAGAAACTGTGTAGCATTTGTCTCTAGCATCTTTATTGGTCTCTGAGAAGTTCACCATTCCGTTTATTTTCATTTAATAAAGCGGGCTGCTCATGGCATGCATATTGGGTGAACAAGATCTGATTCTAGTGTTTCAAGTTTTGTCTATTACTATTTTCTCAGCAAGTTGAACTTACATTTAAAGAAAAATTAGTTATTGGCCGGGTAGAACTTGAATTTATTAGACTTCAAGAAGGTTTCTTTGGGAAGAGATACATCCTGCTGCAATATGCATATTTCTAACTTTTCATTCATTGATTTTCAAAAAATTTTCACTTGCTGACTATGCTAAACCTTTCAGCTAGAGCAATTTCTCCTGCATAAGTTTTAGTTTGTTGGTTAAATTGTGTAAATTTGTTGACTACCATAGTTATGAATTTACCATTTCATTTTTTATTAATGTCAAATTAATTCTAGTGGCATCTGAAGTGTTTAGCTTGCAACCTTCTTTAAATTAAATATTCACTTGCTTCTTGCATTGAAATTTGATCTGCAACTGATCCCCCTTGTCAGTAATTGGTCTCGTACTCTACTTTAAATTTGTAAAATATTTAGGATAGGTTAATATCCTTATAAAAAAGGTATGAAAGTGATTCTTGTGGTATTTTGACATACCATTGATGCACACATTCCATCTTCCTTGACACCTCCCCTAAAAAAAAAAGGGAAATTTACATATGTAGCACATAATTCTTTTGTATTTACATATCTCATACCTAAAATTCATATTTACATACATTGCACTTTGTTGCTTTAAACTAAGCATAAAAATATGCATTGCACTTTTTAAAAGTGATAGTAGTGTTATTTTTGATGTGATATTAAAGATTTGAGTACTACATGTGTTAATATGAAAGTTTAGGCGTGAGATATGCATAGACAAAAGAATTGTTTGAGATATGCGCTTAGTTTTGTTGTTTTTGAAGGTCAATAAATATTATAGAGATCTTCTATTTGTCTACATTTTCCATCAAATACCTTAACCCTAATAATTATTGTTCCTCCATAAAATGAAATTGATGTTCTAAGCGGAATTATTTATATTGCCATGAAATGTTGGTTCAAGAATTCTTTTCTAATCAGTTTGCTTCTATTTGTTATTTGGAATTTCATAATGATTTATTAACTATACAACTGTAAATCTCAGTAGAATCTCGTTTAGACATGGAACTTGGAGGACAACTGTGATTTTTCTGCCAGAAGATTTCTTTTATATGGTTGAATTTCATGTAAATTTGATTAGAAGAGGAAATTTTTTATTTTTTTGTTGGCGATGCTGAAGTACTGATGTACTTTGATTGATTTATTTATTTTTTAATTATGGTTTATGTTTACAGTAGAATATCACGATATGGTTTTAGATAAGGTTTTTTTGTCTATTAAGTTTAGGGGCATTTACATACATACCTCCCAATTCTTATTTATTTACATATCTAACACCTAAACTTCCATTTTTATATTTATACTACCCAAAATTTTCATATCACATCAGAAATGCCAATATTTTTAATTTTAAAAAGTGAAAAACATCTTTCTATGCATAGGTATGATAACATATATGTGAAAATTGATGTTTAGGTGTTAAATATATAAAATACATAAGAAATGAGTGGTATGCATGTAAATCATCCTTAATTTTAATAAATAAAAACTGTCTTTGTGAACCCTGGAGTCATTATCCTTGATCAATGTTATCACAGTTCTTTTCTTTTGGCCTCAATGAGTTAAAATGACAAATCTAGCTTATCTTGAATGATATTCTTGTGCTTTGTGTTCTTTTTTCATTGGATAACTAGACTAAAAAAATTAGTTTGATTTGCTGAACTGCGCTATCTTTGAGTTGTCTATCCTTTGTTTATTTGAAGTCTCATTACTGAAAAGACCTCCTAATTTCTTTTTTTTTAATGGTTTCCAGCTACTTTTCTGCCTCATTGTGTTGATTCTTGTATGCATTTCTGTTATTTTGTTTGCTTTTTCTTTTAATCAACTCAGTTGTTTTTATTAAGGGACATTTACATACATAGCAATCAATTCTTATGTATCTATGTATCTAACACCCAAACTTTACTTTTACATTTATGCCATCCAATATTTAATATAAAAAATGCTACCATTTTAACTTTTAAAAAGTGAATACACCTTTTTAAGTGTAGTTAAGTTGGCATGTATATAAAATTGAATTTTAGGTGCTGGATATGTAAATACATAGGAATTCTGTGTTATGTATGTAATCTTCCTTTAATTAAAGTTTTTTTTAAAATTTTTTAATTTTGTGCAGTAATATATATCCAATTGCTAGCGTAGACTGGTCAAAAGAACAAGGTATGATTTCATTTCTTTGGCATGGATCCCGCATTGTTTTTATATTTTCACTCTATTAAAATTTGATGTTAAATTATTCATATGGAATATAGAAAAATTAATTGTTGATGATTCAGATGTCCAAACTAAAGACAAAAAGAGAAAAATTAAGCAAGTCTCTGATTCATTTGGACAAGAAAATTCTAAAAAAAATTGCTTGGATACAACCCTTGGAACAGAAGAAAATACTGATCATGAAAAGCCTTCGAAGGTAGAAAAGAAAAATAAACATAAGGTGATGCTTGAAGAATGTATGGGCGAAGTAGCCTGCATAAACTGTGAAGTGGTTGCTAAGGAGAAAATTGAAGAATCAAATGGTTTGACCAGTAAACCCAATGCTGCAGCAAGTGATATTGAGAAAGGGAAAGGTGAGA